AAATAGAACAGATGAAGTAGTTAAAGCAAAAGGAATTTACAAACTACTTTATACTACTAGGTCTAAGAGAAAAAAAGATGTATGAAAATAGAGTTTGATATTAATGTCAAAAATTTATAATATGGATGAGATCATTCTCAAATGTTCAATCTCAAGATATCCCTTCCCAGTCCCCTAAAAGCTAAGATATTAACATATGAACCTACTAGCTAAAAAACAAAAACAAAGGCCCAATACATGTATATATATTTACAAACACAGATGGCAGAGTTGTGCAAGCCTCATGTCTCATTAAATAAAGAGTGGTGAGATATTATCTCCTGCTTCATTCAATTTGTTGCAATAGGCCGCTATGTATGACATTTATTTTTAAAATCTGGTCTTTCACCTAGGAAAACATTTCAATAAGCTTTCTAGATAACTGTGAATAGTTTTCCTAGCTACTACACACACACAAAAAAAAAAAAAATCTGTAAGACAGTTTCCCAAAATAGTTTTCAATGTGGTACCTCAAAGTAATACAAATGAAATTATCAAACTCTATACACACATAACAAACTAAAAATGAACAAAGCAACCGACATCTAGTAAGACTGCAAGGAAAATGGCTGGGGCTATTAGTGTTACAGATAGGGATCTCACGGAAACCTCTGAGGTGCCTAGACTATGGTTTGGAACACAGGCTCCAACCCCAAAACTAAAAGAATACGTTCCCCACACGGCACACACGTCATCTCATTTGTTTTTGCCCATTCTTTAATCTGCACGATAATCACCCCACCCCCACCCCACCCCCAGAGACTCAGTCCCATAGCCCTGCCAACTAAGTACGGACCCTACAGCCATTGTTGCCTCCTGGTGTTGACGAAAGCCATTATGCTATTTTCACCTCAGAATCTCCGCTCTTGCCAATTTCTTGGCCTAGAACAACTTCCCCGTAGACAGCCAAATGTCTCATGCTACCTCATTTCTCTCAAGTGTCTCCTTACATATCACTTGATCACGGGGCCTTAATGTTTTTGCTATATTGTATTTATTTCTGTGTCCGTATGGGGGTGCAGGCCACAGGCACAGGCATAGGTGAGGGGCTACTTGCAGAAGCTGATTCTCGTCTGTCATCACAGTGTCCGGGAATGAACTCAAGTTGGCAGGCTTGGCAGCAAGCACTGGAACCCCCTGAGCCATCTCACCAGCTCAAGAAAGGGCTTACTTAAGTAGATTCCTTTAAAGCAACAAGCACCCCCAACTTCAACTCAACACTTCTTACTGCCTTTGTTCCACGTTAACATTCTACATAGCCTGTGTTGCCATCCGGCATATTACACGTTTCCTTTGTTTACAGTCTGTTTTCCATCTAAACCACAAGCTCCCATGAGAGTAAGATTTTTTTTTTCTTTTCTATTCCCCACTGTAACCCTGCTGCTCAGAACAGTGCCTAGTGTTGTACTTGGCATGTTTTAGATAGGTTATATTAATAATTCACATTTTTTTTACTGGACACTATATGCCAGGCACTCCACATCTTAGAAATGAGTATTTGTTGAACCACATGAATACTGAGTACAAATCTGCCCCAGTTAGCAAAGATGGGAACACAGAGGTTGACAACTAAACTTCAGAACATAGCATTTAAGGGACAAAGAAATGATGACATCTTCAAACCAGATCTTCTCTCTTAGTCACCTTATAACCAAATAATCTAGAGTTGTCAACAATATAATATTCGTCCTTTGAGCAACTTCGTTTCTAGGAACAACTGCTCTAAATGGAAAGATTACCAGAGGTGCCAGCCACTCAACAGTAACTGCTCTGCTTGTTCTGTGTTTCTTCACCAGATATCAGATAGGGACATGTTGCTCCTTCAAAGGCTTGCCACTAATGTGCTCTGTTCACTAGTGTCCCTTGACCCTTGACCTTGCCTGTCTGAGATTAAGTGACATTTCAATGACATTAGAACTCTGTAATCTCCTGAGCTTCCCCCGTGATAGTAGCATTTTCATTGACATGGCTGATATGCAGATAGGCGGTATGCTTGAAAAGGAACACTAGCTGATGAAATCCTACAGGAAACCAGCTGCACAGTCCATAAGAAAAAAATCACATTTTCTCGATACCGTCCTGCCATCTGACACATACTGTTTAAGTACTTCAACAGTCAACACATGGCTCTTCCTTGGTATTTTACAGAATTCTGAAAGGCAGTCTACCAAAAAACGATGAAACCCATGAATCCATCTTTGTTGAGATGTCATTGTTTCTACCCCCCTGTACTTATGAGCATGGCCTTATCCGGAAACAGGCTCAATGCAAATGTAATTAAGCTTAGTTAGATGAGATAGTTAGCGTGGACCCTAAATAAATAACTTACACCCTTATTATGTAAGCTGGGGGAGAGGGGAGGCAGGGACAAGGAAGGGGAGAAGGGGAGGGGAGAGAAATCATCACGGGAAGGTAGAAACAGAAATTAGACTACTGCATTCATATGTATTTTCAGGGACTACTGTCCTTACTAGAAACCAGGAGAATCATAAAAGAACCAACCCTTCCAGTCCTTTGATTTGCAGCTCTTCAAGATAAACTTTTTCTTTAACTGTTTTAAGCCACCCATTTTACAATACATTTGCTTGTCAAGCCTAGAAAACTAATGCAATACTTATATAATGAGGAAAGATATATCTTCCACTAGGTAATAATCCAAATTATTTCTGAGGTTACTTTGCCATGAAGAGGGTGAAGTGTAAGCCCCTGTTCCTTAAATGTGAGCTGCATAAAATGACTTCATTCCAAAGACACAGAAAGGCAGGCAGCAAAATTCAGAATGGGGAAATTTAACAAACGTCAATGTCTGCGGTGTTGACAATAACGAAGACCTTAAAAGATGTGATTTTTAAAAATGGGTTTCTGTGGTTTTCCTAAGTAAATAAAATATACTGGTAAAATCAATAAGAAAAATATACAAATTTAAAATAATGGACATTTTAAAAAATACCTGACTGATACTCCTTTAAAATATTAATACCATTAAAAAACAAAGAATATCAAAAAAAGAATAAAAAAAAAAAAAGAAAGAAAGAAAGGAAGGAAGGAAGGAAGGAAGGAAGAAAGCTGCCATGATTAAAAGCAGTCTAAGGAATGAGATAGACAAATTGCAGTGTAGCCTCCTACATGGAATCCTAAACACAAAAAGAACATACTAAGAGTATCATAGTGGAATACAGGTGTTGATTAATGATGTATACACGCCTGTTCATTAATTGTAAGAAGTGCTCCAATAGTAACATAAAATGTAAGTAATGGGGTATTTCACATCTTTATATCAGTCTAAAATACTCTTGAAAGTTCACTAAACATCAAATAAACCAAGACCAAAACCACTGCCACTGTAGCCACGCTATGTTGTTAACTCACCATGCAAGATCGTTCTATCAGTTCACAGTATACCACTGTCTATCACACTCATTCGCAAGTGTTTATTTTCACCATCCACTTTGTACTTAGAGTGATGACAAACATAGTTTCTATAGACTCCTTTTATTCTGACGTAAATGTGCTTCTTTTCTCATTACTCTGACCAAATACCGGTCTGGAAAAAAAAAAAAACTAAACTAAAAGGGGCGTTTATTTTGATTTTCGGCTCATAGAAATGCAGTTCATCATGGCCAAGAAGGAATAGTGGTAGGAACAAGTTGGTCCATGATGCCAACCGAGGAGCACAGAAACGGAAATGTCTCCTTCTTCCCAATTTAATTCACTCAGGAACCGCAACCCATGGGACAGTGCTGCTCACTCTCAGTGTGACACCTTCCTTCTCGTTAATTTTATCTGGAAGAACCCTCGCAGACACTCGCGAGTGTGTTTCATTAATGCCCTAGAGTGTTCCTTCATCCAGTCTTGCCGGCAGCAGACATTAACCACCACAGATGTTTTGGTAATCTCTGACATGACCTTTTGCACAATGTTATCAATTACATGTCCCACAGCATCTTGGACTAAACACTTGTCAGTGTGATAGCATATGGGTAGATTATCAGCACAGGTATATGGAAAAGAGACACTAGCCTACACCTATGAGGAGATACTTAGTAAACATCTACCCCCCCCCAATGGCCAGTATGGTAACCAATGGGCTCTGCTGAGAAGTCACGGGACTTAAAGGATAAGTTTTTCTTCCAAAAACACAGAACAGCTATCTATGTACAAGAGATTTTAGAGAGGGAAACGAACTAAAATATTGGGAAAGGAAAGAACACCTGAGTAACTGATAGTCATTTCACGTCTATCACGTTTCCCAACATATTCTTTCCAGCTTCGATTCCCCAAACCAGCTACGCCTTTGAGGTCACTCCTTGCTCGTTGTTATTAAGCTATAGGTCCGTTGTCCTTTTATCTTCCAGCTGCCCTCTGATGTTTCCCTTCACTCTCTAAGTACTCATACACACACATATTCTCACGTGCTACTGAATAACCATTTCTTAAACCTTGTTTCGTCTTCCAAATCTAGATCTTATTTCTATTCTTACTCCCCTACATCATTAACGTGTAATTATGTTTATACAAAGCGTCTCCTGATTTTTAATCTCTTCTATTCAAAACCACACTTTTCCTCAAACACCTCTTGGGTCATGTCAGTCACAAACATGGTTCGACAGTCTGTGGTAATGGACCCAGAGACTGACATTGGGGTTCAAGCTTCAAGCCGAAGTAGAGAAGAGCGAAGCAGTAAGCCACTAGCTACTACCTAGTATTACCTACGCTCACATTTCCCATAGTTCACACTTGACGTTTCCAATCCCCTTTTGTGCAGACACTAGGCCCAGTTTTTCTTCCCCTAAAACCACTGGAGTTACTGACTTCGTCCAGAAGGGAGTTCAAACAGTGGCCCAAAAGATTTGCAGGAAAGACTCCTGCCAGCCTCCAAGCCTTCTAGCAGGTTCCTGGTCACTCATTACCCTCCCTCCCCGCCCCCTAAGGAATCTGACAAGGAAGATGGCGGTCCACACCTAGCAGCACCTCCTACAGGCTCCTCAGTACACGAGTTCACATCGTAAACATCGTTGAAATGAAGGATGGTCAAATCATAGGAGTCCATGTCTCCTGACCGGGTCCCCAGAGAGAGCTCTTCATCCAGCTCTGCTGGCTGGGGAGGTGCCAGCGTTGGCGCCTCCTCCTCAAAGGCCTCCATGCCTCAGGCACAGCATAGGATGCCTCTCTCCTGAGCCTGGGCAAGCCTGCACACATGTGCAGGATAGCAGCCGCAGGAGCATGTGCAGCACTTGCTGGGCCTGAGCTGGACTGAGGCCTGTGCTGCTCCTGAGTGCCCAAGCCTCTCTCTCCTGCGCTGTGCTAGCCTGACTGTGCCTAGGGCAAGCCGTGGCCGTCCTGTTGCCTGACAGCCGTTGACAGGCCAACGGAAATCCTGATGGCCCTTGCTTCTCCTTTGGCAGAATGAGGTCGTGGCTGTAGGAACATAGTCAGTGCTCATTCCTTTTGCATTTTGCATCTTTCTGAGTAAATATTTTTCTACTGCACATTTTCCAGTACTTTGCAAGAAGAAAATAGGACAACTATTAAAGACCTAAAATATTATTTTTTTTCTACACCCGAATTCTTGATTCCTGTCTGTCTGAGAGGTCCTGGGTATCCATTAATTTAACGACTGATCCTGGTGCCAATTCCAAAAGGAACAAATGAGACCCAGTCCTCATCCTAAGGGACTCTATGATTTCACCTTGCGCCTACCCTGTTCTCTCCAGACCTTGCCATAATCTTTTGAGGCCCTTTTCTGCCTCTCCCATAATACAAATTCCATTTCCTTCTTTCACTTTTATTTAAGATCGAGACAATTCACAACTAGTTTTTTGCTTCAACCACAATTCTTCTTCTGTAGCTTTCTTTAACACATCTAACATTCTGACCCGAAATACTGTTCTGTGGGATCTGACATTTTGTGCGTGTGAGAGAAAGAACAGAGTAAGTGAAAAAGTAATGCTTTTATTGAATTACATTTTACACAGCTATTGTGGCCTGATGGAATCCATCCAGGCGATCAATACGGTACCCCAGAGCGCTGCAACCCCTTGGTGTACTGCCAGCCAGACATTTGCTCAACTGAACTTGAATTAAATGGATACATCTAGAATACAAAGTGCCAACTTTGAAATATAAGAAAAATAAAACTTGAACAAATAAATAAAATTAAAGGATTGGGGTAGTGGTTAAGACTCTCTCCTATAAACACAGAGGCCAACAATATTTGTACAGAGCAGGTCAGTCTTTTGTAAAGTTTATATAAATAAAATTCCAAAGCCAAGCAACAAAAAAGATAAACCTATAAACTTACTATAAACGTGGGTATAAAACAAGTTTTAAAAACTAAATCAAATAGTACATTTAAAAATGGTATTGCTTAGCTTTCCTCAAAACTGTAAGAATTTACAACAAAAAATTTATCATTGTAATTCAGCTTAAAATAGTGGCAAATGGTGTGAAAATACTTAATAAAGTTAATCAGCTATTAGTTAAAAATTTGTAGCTATCTAAGGAATAAAAGAACCTTTCTTATTTTGATAAGCTAACAACAAAATTCTACTAAACTAACTTTAAATGTGTTCCCTATATAAGCAGCAATAAATGAATATGGCTGGACTTATCACCACCAATGTTTTAAGGCATTATTGGCTTCTAAAACATAATTAAGTGAATAGAAAAAAAAGCCTTGCCAACAAAGGATTAATATCTAGAATTCACAAACATATAGATACTCAAAAATAAATGGGTCAAAAACAGGGCTGACGAACTGAACCAAGTTTTCAAAAGGAGTTCAAATAGCCAGTAAACATTTTTAAGGTGTTCAACATGTTTATCCATAAAGGAAACACAAATTAACGCAATTTTTCAGTTCTCTATCATCCCAGCCAAAAGGACTATCCCCAAGAAACAAATGATGGATGACAGGTGTCCCTGAGCAGGCGGGAAAGTAGCTCTTACACACTACTGATGAAACTGTAGTGTGGTGCAACTACTCTGAAAGTAAGGTTCTGAAAACATAATTAGCACTCTCATTATTTCCATATGATATAATTCAAAATGTAAAAAATTCAGAGGTATTCAAGTAAAATAAGTAAACTACATGAATGGGGTATATTGAAAGGCCCTTTTCGGTCTTCATAATCTTCTATAAATCTAATTTTTTAAAATAAAAGTTTCTTTTGAAAAGTGAATACATATATGTGTTTGATTCATAATGTAATTCAGCAAAACCATGGTATACAAGACCAATTTGCAAAAATCTATCACAGTTCTTTACACTACCAATTATTAATCTGAAAAAAATCAAAGCAATAAAATTCAAGTCAAGGTAGTACTCAAAAGAACAAAAATATATGCAAATAACTTTAATGAAGTTGTAAGTAAATGGAGAGATAGTATGTGTGTGGTGAATTTGAAGATTTATTATTAAGAATGTATCTAAACTGGTCTATTAATTCAATGCAATCTCTATCGATTGATGCGAGCCTTTATGTAGAACCTGGAAAGCTGATTTTAAATTTTGCATGAAATAAGAAAGGACCATAATTTTTTAAAATTAACAAGGCCATTTATTTTTAGTTCATTGGGCGTGTTTTCTCTAATTCTGTGATTGTCTGATAATCAGCACCTGACCTCACCTGGGGTCCTATCATGGTTACTCAAATCTTTTCCTGATAAATAGTCTGTTCCTGTTCCTTTGCATGTCTAGTAACATATGGCTGGAAACTGAAGGTTTTATTATATGTTGAAATGACATGGAATCATCCTGTGTTGTTCTTTTGGGTTACTGGCTAGTCCATTTGTTTGGGCCCAAATTGCAAAGTTTGTCTTCCCTCTGTTAGGTAACAAGTGATAAATTTGTCTTCCCTCTGTTAGGTAACAAGTGATGTATAATCTTATGTCTTCAATTACCAGCAAGTCATTCTCTGCTGTGAGATAATATTCTTGTATACTGTAAAGATTTGTCACTAGTATTGGTTTAATAAAATGCTGATTGGCCAATAGCTAGACAGGAAGTATAGACTGGGAACCAGACTGGAGAATTCTGGAAAGACACAAAGGAAACAAAATAAAAATGCCTTACTGAGAAAAGGTACCAAGCCACGTGGCTAAGCATAAATAATTATGGGTGAATTTAAGTCATAGGAGCTAGTCAGAAAAAGTGTGAGCAGTAGGCCAAATAGTTTATAATTAATATAAGCCTCTGTGTGTTTATTTTGGACTGAACAGCTGTGGGATAAAAACTTCTGTCTTCAATTAGCCTTGGTATTGGTGCATGCCCTGTACCTGTGTAGTTTTAGAGGCCAAGCAAAGATTTGGTAGTCATTGTACTGATATGTGAGGACCCACCCTTGACTGGACTTCGTCTAAGGACACATCATCAACTTCCAGATCCTCCATACCCCTCAGACACTAAGAACACTTTACATGGAGACTTGAGATATTACTCTGTCGTTATCCCATCAAGACCTTTCTCTTTAGATTTTCCATTGCATTTCCAATCATAAAGTCATGTGGCATCTTGAATTGATAAGGCTGTGGTTTATAGTTATGGCTTTCTAATTAAATGTCCCTGCATCTGGAAAAGCCCATGAGGCCAACCCCTTCTCTAAATAAGCCACAACCTTATAATCCTTAGTACTTCCTGACATAATTTTTCAAAAAAAAAAGTACTTGCCTCAATTTTCTATTTCAAGTGCTTTCTTATGTTTTCAACTTATTGCACTTTAAAATGTCCAGTTATAATTACCATTTATTATATGAGTCATATAACTATTTTACTCCATTTACTAGAAATTTGGCTTCTTCTTTAAAATTTTCCATAGAATAAAGTTCTTTTAAATTCCATTAGTGATTATATTTTTAAAACATACACTTTTTTTTAACTCAATAGTAAATAATGCATTTAAATTCTCTCATTGAGACTCAAATCACAGGATAAAATGGTCAATAGGAGCATCTGAATAGACTTAGGAAATTTAAATCACATAGAGAATATAAAAATTGGAAAAAAACATTTCAATCACTATGTAAGTCCTAGCAGTTCTGAGCAATGTCTGTGAGCGGTTACTACTGCCATCAGCTTGGATTTCTTGTGGTACTTTTTAACCCAGCATCCACCTGATCCCTATTTCTCATTGTTCAGAGCAGTGCCTGAGATTTGAGAACTGGAGTATTATCAGTTTTCACTATGTAACTTCTTTGAGGACCTGTTAAGAACAAATCAACACAGATGCTTACAATTGGCTTTGTTTGGGATGGTTTCAGAGCTTATCTCCATTACTCTTGCCTTCATAAACTGTCACCTTTGGTAACACATCTGGGGCTTAAGGTCTACCCTTCCTCATCTGTGCTATATTTTCATGAATATTGCCCACCACTTTCAAGATTGTGTACATAGCCATCGAGATCACAATAAATCACATTTGGGTATGGTTTTCATACCTTTGCACTAATTCACATCTCTTTTGATTATCATTTTTTTTATTAACAAGAATGTTCGTCACTACATTTAAATAACTTTTACTTCATATATTAAAGACACCTTAAATGTGGATAAATTTGAAATTTTGGCTTATAGGATTTCTGTGTCTCTTATAATTCTAATATTTGAACAATTTTGCCAGCACGTGAGTGGGTACAAAATTCTGTTCAATCAGATTTACCTGGGATGCAATGGCCTTTGCTATATATGTGCATAGATGACAGCTATGAGAGACCTAAATAAAGAAACTCCTAACAATTCAGTGGTACAATAACCAGAGAAAGCACTTGCTTGAAGTTGTGGGTAGGAATACTCAGATACTTCTTTGACCTCTATCTCCAAATGAGAGAAAGTAATGCCTTTGATATAAAAAAAAAAAAACTGTTTTATGGCTGATTTGTTGTAAACATAGCAACTGTTATTTTATGAGAATTTTGGTTCCTACAGGGAAAAAATATTGGGGGGTTCCCCATTCCTTCATGTGTATACACTCTGCAGATCACACTTAGGAAAATGCCTGTTACCATTGGCCAGGCAGAGGGATGGGACATTTGATTTGTCACTTATGTTTGTAATGATCACTCTCTCTAATTAACGATGTGGACATCTTCATCATACAGGGTAGAATGCTAAAGGAGCTATGCTTATTCAGCTAGCCATCATTGCTT